CCAACTTCTGATGTTGTCATCTGAACCTACACATACACACACACACACACACACACACACACACACACACGTGCACAATAATAATAAAATAAAATAAATATGTGTCACCAAAACAACCAATATTCCTTGTCATTTGCATTATTTTGAATGCTCATCACATCTTTAATCATCTCATGTACAGTTTTTAAGCACCACAGTTATTTTACTCCAACACTTGTTTCTTTTGAAGAGAAGGGAGACGTGTCTTGCATGTGGCCCAGGTTGGCCTTGAACTTGTGATCCTCCTGCCTTTGCCTCCTGAGTGCAAGGATTACAACCATGACACCTAGCCTCGGAGGATAGGCTTCTCTGATGGCACTGCTTAAATTCCTTTGAGGCCATATCACTGGGCTGGGCTAAGAACTCTAGTTGAAAAACTCATGGGGTCATAAAACTATTAAGCCAAGATCAAACAAAACAAAAATCAGGTTCAGGGGGAGGTGTGGCTCAGTACTAGAGTCTATGCTTAGCATGCTGGAGGCCCTGAGTTCATTCTTGAGCACTCCAAGAAATAACAATAAACACACAAATAAAAAAGATTGCCTGTGTAGTAAAGATCTGTAGTTTCAGCTACTTGGGAGACATGGGAGGCAGGAGGATCACTCAAGCCCAGGAGTTTAAGGCCAACCTGGGCAACACAGTGAGACCTCATCTCAAAAATAATAGAGATGGCTCAGTGGTTAAGAACACTGGTTGTTCTTGCAGAAGACCCCAGTTTGAATTCCAGCACCCACATGGCAGCTAACAACTGTCCATAACTCCAGTCCTAGGGGATTCAACAGCCTCTTCTGTCCTCCGAGGGCACTGCACAACAGGGGTACACTTACTTACATGCAGGCGATACATGCATACACATATAATTTAAAAAAAATTTTTTTTAAATGAATGAAGGGGCTGGAGAGATGGCTCAGCGGTTGGGAACACTGACTGTTCTTGCAGAAGACCCAGGTTCAAATCCCAGCACCCATATGGCAGCTAACAACTGTCTGTAACTCCAGTTCCAGGGGATCTGACAGCCTCTTCTGTCCTCTGCGGGCATTGTACAACACGGGTACACTTACTTACATTCAGGCATAACACTCATACACATGAGATAGGCAGGTCTCTATATTGGAGGCCAGCATGGTCTACATACAGAGTTCTAGGGGTGCAGGCTGGGTACGTAAGTAAAACCCCTGTCAAGAGAGAGAGAGAGAGAGAGAGAGAGGGAGGGAGGGAGGGAGGGAGGGAGGGAGGGAAAGGGGGGATTTAAGGACATGGGACTGCATAAGGATAAACAATGACTAATCTTTTTATGGCTGTTGTTCAGAATATTGCTGCCCCTTAGTGTTCTATTTTCTGAATATAAAAAGTAACTGGTTTCTCTTTAGCTATCCATGACTCACTAACTATTGAGTAAATTATACTTTGTCAAACAAAATTGAAACATTTATCTTTTTCTCACTGCCTGATCCCTCTAAATATCAAAACTTACCAAGTGCTTCCTTTCATAGTAATAGTTACTTTCACAGCTGTGATTAGAAACTGTTCTCCCTATAGCAGGACACAGTTGGAAACTTTAGGCATTAGTTGTTGACTGGAACATCCTATTTGAGAATGATTACACAGAAACAGATATGACCTAGACAGCTTTAAGGACCGAAGTTTAAGTTTACTGAGCCTGTTGGGGGACCCTGCTGCTAAGGTTATAGGCCTCCATGTCTGGATAGCTCTAAGGGAGCTATGGAAGGACTCCCTTTCTCAGCAGGGGGCCTCCTGCTCTCGGCCTGACTTACCTGGAAAGTGCCGCCAAGCATGGATGCCTGACCTTATTTGGAACATGATCTTTGGCATAGTTACCTGGAGTAAAAACTATCCCCAGGTTTTTTCTATATGATAATTAGGCATTGCCCCATAGTCGGATGATAGGATCCCTCTACTACATGTAAGTAAAGCATACTATGAGCACCTATCAGCTGAAGCTTTGGCTGCTGCCTCCATACTATATTTTCCCTAACCCCCACTGAATAAACGGAGCTGTTTCACTGAGTCTGGAGTTGTATCACTGAAATCTGCCTCCCTGGAAGGGCTTTCTTCCATCAGTGCTCACTGGCCGTCCTGACCCCGTTCATGCATCAGTGGCCAATGACTCACGAGGGGAGGGAGAGCCCCCAGAGCCAATGCTTACAAAGCCCTCTTGAAGAAACTTGCCTGGCAGGATGGATGTGGTGGTGGCTGCCTGTCATCCTAGCACTCAGGAAGCAGAGGCAAGAGGATTGTTGCAAGTTCAAATGCCTCGTCTACACAGCAAGCTCCAGGTCAGCAAAGCTACACTAAGAGACCCTATCTAAAATAAAAAAAATCTCAGTGATGCTCTATGGAAAAAAAATTCTGATTTTATTAGATCTGATCTGATTATTTATACCAGTACAGTAAGAATAGTAATTGACCACAAAGGTCTCTGAAATATTGCTTTGCTGGAACTTCAATAAGGAATTTCAAATTAAACTTATTATTTTAGTTTTTTTGATTTATTTATTTTATGTGTATGAATGTTTTGCCTGTATGTATATAAGCGCATCATGTGGGTACAATGTCTGTGGAAGCCAGAAGAGGGCATCAGATCCCCTGGAACTGGAGTTATAGACAGTTGTTAGCTGCCATGTGGGTGCTGGAAACTGAACTGGGGTCCTTTGCAAAAACATCCAGTGCTCTTAACTGCTGCTCCATCTCTCCATCCCCCCCCCAACACCTTTTTTTGAGACAAACTTGCTATGTATGTGAGGATGACACTGAACTTCTCATCTTCCTGCCTCTACCTTTCTGGTGCTGGAAACACAGGCCTATGCCACCATGCCTAGTTTTATGCAGTGCTAGGGTTTGAACCCAGGGCCTCATGCATAACAGGCAAGCACTCTGATAGAATGTGTGAATTGCAGAAGAGCCACGAGCCTCATTAGGGAAAGCCATAAATCCCTTAAAGTGTCTAACTGGCCCTTAATTGGCGGCCTGGCATTGCTCAAGCCTGGCTCTGCTCACCCCTTATCAGTTGGTCACTCCCAAGCCTGAGAGAAAGTGTTTGTGGAGCCCACCTTTCCTCTAAAGCCATAGATAACATTCCTGCCAGTTTCTGGGGAAATAATCCTGAGAAGGAGACCCTCAATCACTCCATGATCACCAAGCCTGGGCACTAACTCAATTCCCCACTAAATGCAGCTGTGTCCCACAACCCTGGTATAACCCCCGCCTCCTTCTTTTTGTCTAGTTGTAGCTGCTTGGTTCCGTGGAACAGTCTCTACCTTTCACTGTATCTTCTTTGAATAAAGGAAGATATATTCCTTGCCTGTTGCAGGTCTGGCTTTGGTTTCTTGTCTCCTACTCCTCTATCTTTCCTTTTATTTTCAAAAAATCAAACACACTCTACCAACATCTTAGTCTTAGTTCTGCTAGTCTTTGTGAGGAAAAGGTCATGGAACAGAACAGACTTCTACTGTTCAGGTGAAAGAATGCCCCTCCTCCTTAGTTGTGTACTCTCCTTGAACAAGGTTTGGCCACACTTGGTCAAGCTCCTTCTAATGACTTACCCACTAACAGTCTCTAAGAGCTCAAGGCTGCATCCCTAGGGTGACTTTAGCCACCCTCCCAACCCCCTAAGTGCCTGCTTTTTGAGAAAACTCCAGATGGCTGTTAATGTACTGCAGCTAAAGCCAGGGCCCCAGTCACCAGCTTCTATGGGCATTCTGTTCATAAGTCAGCAGCAAATCCATGGTGGGTCCTCCACATCCTTCCCTCTCTGATTTTTTTTTTTTTTTTTTAACTTTTTTGAGACAGGGTCTCCCTGTAGCCACACCTGACCTGCTGACCTGGAACTTGCTATGTAGACCAGGCTGGCCTCCAAGTTGCCTGCCTCTGTCTCCCAAGTGTTGGGATTAAAGGGTTGGGCCACCACACCCGGCTTCCACTCTAATTTTAGAAATTGCTCCCTTCCCTGACCTCTGCATTCTCTTGTTCTCCCTCTGAACTACTAACACTTGGTGTCACTTTTGCCCAAATGGGAATGGGCTCAGTTTTTTTTTCCATCAACAGTACTTAAGTAAAATTTGTCCCTCATCTTGGCATTTACTAGGATAGTACTGATTTTCTGAGACAAGCTGTCCACATCTTGGGCTATACCCCACCCAGATCTCTAAAAAGAAGTTACAAGTACTCATGACAGCTTCCACTGTACCTCTAAGGCCTGGAGAGCCAAGGACCCCCAAAGATCTTGGCTGGAAGAAACTGGAAGGGCTGCTTTGTCAGCAAGAAAAGCCTGTGTGACTTCCTTCTTCTCTAACATTTCCTGGATGAGGCTCCACTATACACCTAAACCCAGCTCTGGGGTGCTCTTGAGCCCCGGATGGGGTAGCCATTATCTTGCAAGGAAAGGCCCCAGGGGCATCCTAAAGGCCCCCAAGAGGGCACGTGTTGGGGAGACTGTTGAACAGTTTCGGGCTCTACTGGCCATCCCGTGGACCTGGCAACTCTGGCTCTAAGGTTCTGATCCCCCAAAATAGGTAGGACCCTCTCGCGATGGACCAGGCCCACCAAAGGACTACCATCCACATCTTCAGTTTCCCCATTCCAGCACAGCTCTTCAAACCCACATCCACTCCCGCTCCCACCCCCACCCCTGCATGATGTCTGGAGACCTGCCTCGGTCCAAAGACATCACCACCACCCCACCCGCCAGCCGCGACCACAAGTGTCACATTCCCCAGTCCCATCCGGCGTCCCCCCCCCCCCGCCCCGGGGTCTAGGTCAGACCCCGTACCAGGTCTAGGGAACCCCCGCCAAAAGTCAGCTCCTTCAACCTGGCCCCAGTATGCCAAGTGCACGATCCGATCCGCACCTCGAGTTCCGAGGCCGCTCCACCCAAGTGCAATCGGCTATCTGCGCTCCACCCTAACCCTGACCCATGTCCCTGCGTAGGGAACAGCACTCACCGCTCACAGGCCACCCGCCGGGTCTGGCTAGGCGCAGAAGCCGCTCAGGCAGCGCGGCGGGCAGCCCCGGCCGCCAGAGGTCCCCCGATGATGGCGGCGATGGCGGTGGTTGTGCTGCGGGGACCCCGAGGGCACTTCCGGTGGCGGGTGCCGACCTGTACGCGCGGGGTCCGGGGCGCGGCGAGCCCAGCGGGAGGTAGGGTGGGACAGCGGGCTGTGTGGTGCGGACAGCGTGTCTGTGCGAGTGTCCACGTGGGAGTGTCCCCGCGGCGCGGGTGCGCGCCATGGCCAAGGACCGGGTGTCCACGTGGGGTCTCGGGCTGGCTCCGCGCCAGGTGTCCGCGTCTGGGTGCCCGCTCTGGCCAGGGACACTGGGGTCGGAAGACCAGTTTACTGGGCAGAGTGAGACCTGCTTCTGGTCTGGTAATTCGCTGCTCTGATGGGGAAAGCGCTTGGGGGTCCTTCTGCATTGGCTGCAAGGTGGTCTCTTGGAGGTTGTGCATCGCCCTCCCCCAGCTTAGTATTAACTGTAGCCTTGTAGGATGTCAGGGCTCTTGTCGCCAGGTACCCCATTAGCCAAACCATAGACACTTCTCACAGCCCCCTAGCGGCAGGTACTCTTTGTCGTTGTTGGTTTTTTGTTTTTGTTGTACCTCCCAATCGTCCCCCACCCAACTCCCTCAAGTAGCCCAAACTGGCTTCCAGCTAATGGTTAGTTGGGGCTGGCCTTGAATTTCTAATCCTCCTGCCCCCACCTTCCAAGGGCTGGGATTGCAGGTGTTCCCCACCATGCCGTTTATTGGTTTGGGGTTTTTTTGAGGCAGCCCAGGCTAGCTTGAACTCCCATTTTTCCTGCCTCAGCCTCTGAATGTTGGGATTGCAGGGTGCACTCCCATACTCTGCCTAGCAAATGCTTTTAACTTGCAGATGCAGGGAATAAATGAAACGCTAGAGAACCAGTGAGACCAAGCCCCAGTGCATGTCCAGGCTATGTGTGGCCTTGAAAAGGGGAAGAGACTGCTTTGCTGG